CAAGAATTTATATGTTTTTCAGGTTTATTTATACAATAATGGCCACTGAAAATCCACCTCAGGTAAGAAAGTTATTTCATTTGAAGTAATGATAGAGTTCATAATTATGTCTCCAGTGTATTATATCCTTAGTGGAACCATGAAAGAAAACATGTTTGCCAATTGTTTTGCTAAGATAAGGAGTCACCTTTCCATGGTTCCTATGATTAGTTTATGCAAGGTAAACAAATAGGAAACACCTACTTACTTTAACTGGCTTGCTTTGAATTTGTGCCATCTAATGCTGGAATGAGATGGGAAATGTTTAGATATTTGTGTCCTATAGCAAACTGGTTTGAATTGGTATAAATGGAAGCAAATTGAAATGATTGAAAAAATGTCATTTTTATTTTTATACTGTATGTATGTCTAGGCTGCTCCTCAAAAAGTTGGATTCAGATAAAGATAGCAAACCCTTGGCCTCTCTAAAATTGATGCTTATTTAACTATAATTAAGTTTTCTTCTTGATTTTAGAGACGTTTAAGTGCAATCTAGTGTCTCTTTATTCCTTCAGCTCTGCCTCATTGCAACCCATATCATCTGCAAGGAATTCACAAAGTGCTATATCCACGTTGTGTCTCCATCATCTTAAGCCAGATGGCACTGCAGATCTCACAAGGTTTATCTTGCTTTCACCTATATGCCTGTGAGTCCGCCCTTTGTAGCCAGCTCCTTCATCCAATCACTAGTTAACCCAAGTTAACCAATAACTCAGTGCTGAGAATGCCTACCCACCCTCTCTGGGATCATGAAGTGTATTTTCTTCATTGCTTTTGAGTTCTACAGCTTTCTAATTTTCATGTTAGTGTTACAGCAATCACGAGTCTCCCTCTTGACTTGGCTGGAAGAAAACAGGCAGCTAAGCAGGAGGCATGGCTGGCAATGTTTCCAATCAGAAAATGATCACCCACAGTTACCAATAATGTACATTCACCCACAGTGGAAGAGGAGAATGAAAGAAAGTTAATTTCCAAGATGTGCTCAGGAACCAGAATATTTGAGAATCTACAGTATTGTACAGCCTGTTTGGTGTAGTGTTTAAGGCAGCAGGCTAGAAACCAGTAGACGGTGAGTTCTAGTCCCATGTTAGGCACAAGGCCAGCTGGGTGACCTGGGCCAGTCATTCTCTTTCAGCCCTAGAAAGGAGGCAATGGCAAAACCACTTCTGAAAAATCTTGCCAAGAAAACTGTAGGGGCTTCTCCAGGCAGTCGCCAGGAGTCAAAACTGAGCTGAAGTCCCAAAAAAGAAAAGCAAAGAAAAGCAGGAAAAAAAAAA